CTGATGAGCTGCCTCCCTGTTGGATGGCCTGGGGCAGCGGCACTCACTGTATTTTTTGCTCACAACTCGCAAAGTCGCTCAGGAAAGATGACTTCCAGAACTGCATCAGAAAGTGGTCAGAACCATGGATTAATGTGACGGTTTAGTTCTAAAACACCTCCCTCCAGCCCTCGTGCGTGGAAGCTGACTGTCTTGGCCATGCCTAGTTGGTCCCTGGACCAGGTGAGTAGCTGAATGTGTTGTTTGGAGTCAGGCCCTGGGGTGCGACCTGGAAGGCCCCCCTCTTCTCTGCTTCCTGGTTCCATGAGATGAGGAGCGGTCTTCCACTCAGGTCTTTCCACCAAGCCATTTCTTTTTTAATTTTTATTTTTGTTAGTACATATTTGCATTGTGGGAAGTTGGTAGATGGACATAAAACATCTTAGTTTTTTACACCCTCTTCCCCTCCATCATGTCAGTTCTGCCTTGGGGCCAGCGGGTCCTGGGCCGAAATGTGAACCACAATACACCTCTCCTCTTTTAAACTGTGGGTGTTGGATGTTCACTGTGTCTCAGTGAAAGGAAAGTGATTTGGACAGATACTGGTCCCAGTAGTGGGGTCATTGTTGTGCCTGTACCTGACCACGTGGCTTAGAAGCCTTTGGAACTGGTTCATGGGAGGATTTAGAAAGGTTTGGAGATGTCAGCTGTAGAAGCCTAGGAAACTGTAAGTGGAATTTGATGGGAGATTCTGGTCAGAGCTAAGAAGACCAGAATCCTGACAGAAATGCAGAGTAAAGGCCCAGCTCAGAGGTTTCAAGTGGAAGCAAGGACTCTATTGGCGATTGTACTCCAAGCCTGTGTACTATGCTCTGCATTTTCTCGTATCCTGAGACTTCATAGGAGACTGGGATTAAAGGCTGTGGATTAGTTGATCTGGTGGAGGAAATTTTATAGCAAACCAACATCTAGGCTGTGGCTTGGGTTGCACTGGTGGCTTTTAGAGAAATCTACAATGAAAACCAGGAGCAAAAAGTGGATGTGAAAAGTTTAAAATTTTATCACATAAGAAGTGCCTACAAAGTTTTTCCTTGGAGAGCTTGGTTGCTAAAAAGATTAGCATTGAAAAGAAGCTAACTACTTTGCATCAGGAAATAGGAAGGATGCCTTGTGAGATACTCAGAAAACAGCCAGACCTTGTCCTTAAAATGCTGAAAGGTGCAAAACTGTAACGCTTTCATTTGAGAAGAGAGGCATTGGGCACCCTCCTCTAGAAGGGTACCTAGTGAATTGGCTCCTAGGGAGTTGGTTCCTGGGAATTCACTCACAGTGCTCAGCCATCCAGGTGCTCAGAGACCACTGCACCCATGATGCAAGGAGGCCTGACTATTGCTTAAGTTAGTCCCAGACCTCGGCATCACCCATGTGATGCTGGCTTTATAGGCATGCAGAATACAAGAGTTGTGGGGTCATGGAGGCTTCCATGCAGAGCACAGATGGAGGTCTGGGAAGCAAGGCAGTGTGCCCCCAAGAGAGCAGTGTGTGAAGCTGGGAAAGTGAAGCTGAAAATGCAGTAGAGACCCCAGGAAGCTGAAGTCAAATATGTGGAACATCTGCTGAGGAAAGCTGTAGGCAGTGGGCAGAGTCACACCATGAAAGGGGCCGTAAGGACTGTAGCCAGCAGTGCCAGTGGGGTGAGGCTGCCCAGCCCTCTGGAGCTCACATCTTGCCACAGCCTGCTCCAGGTTCTGCACTGAGCTGCCGGATTTAATGTTTTCCCTGCTGGGCTTTGGTCTTGCCTTGTCCTATTTCTTTCTATGCTCCTATTTCACCCTTTTGGAGTGTTCACCCTGTGTCATTGTACATGGGCAGTGTTAACTTTCTTAGTGATTTTTATGGGGTTTATGGCTAAGAGTTTGCCTTGAGTCTCAAAGGAGACTGGACTTAGACTTCTCAGCAACGGCTCACTCTATTCCTCCTTGGAGTTAGGTCTGTGCAGGTTCTGTAGTCGTTTGTACAGACAGTTGTTTGAGTTCCTGTAAAAGCCTCCAGTTTATCTTTTTTATAGCTGAGTAGTACTCCATTGTATAAAAATACCACATCTTTTTTATTCATTCTTCAATTGATGGGCATTTGGGTTGTTTCCAAGATTTACCTATGAGAAATTGTGCTGCTATAAACATGGGTGCACATGTATTGCTGTGGTATGATGTTTTTAATTCCTCTGGGAAAATACCCAGAAAGGGAGTAGCTGGGTTAAGTGGGACCTCTAATCCTAGTTTTTTGAGGAATCTCCACACTGATTTCCACAATGGCTGTACCAGTCTACACTCCCACCAACAGTGGAAATGGGTTCCTTTTCCCCCACAGCCTCTCCAGCATTTGTTATTGGTTGATTTCTTGATGACAGCCATTCTTTCTGGGGTGAGATGGAACCTCAGTGTTGTTTTAATTTTCATTTTTTGCATGACCAATAATGTTGAACTTTTTTTCATACACTTGTTTGTCATTTGTATTTCTTCATTTGAGAAGTGCATATTCATCTCAGATGCCCATTTCTGGATTTGGTCTTTGAATTTGGGGGGTTTGATTTTTAAAATTTCTTATATATTCTAGATAGATATCTGTCTGAGGGACAGTTGGTTAAAATTTTTTTCCAATTCATGGGATGCAAGTAGAGACCATACTCATAAGTGAAATAAATCAGACTCACATGTGTAAACATCATATTGTCTTCCTAGTATAAGAATCCAAAAGAGTAAATAAAACCCAAAACATACAATAGATATTATGAGAGGGAAAGAAATTGTTCAAAGGAAGGAACAACTGGGATGAGGGAAAGGAGAAAAAGAAAGAAGGAAAGGAAAAATATAGAGGGAAGAATAGCTGGGATAACTGTACTGCTGATGTCTAATGGTTTATTGAAAGGAACAGTTAATGCTTAATTTTTTGATCAATTTTACATGCTTATATATGGTAATCTGAACAACTAATTTGAAGACAACAATATGCAATATAACAACCATTGGTGAATTCCTACCATCTTGTCTAGGGAAGTTCTGTATCATTTCTAATGATTCTTTTTTATTATTATTTTTTATTCTCTTTAATGGTTTGATCAATCTTGCATTCCTATATCCGGTAGTCTGAGCAACTTTGTTGAAGATAGCAATATGTAATATAACAACCATTGTTAATTCTGATCATTTTGTTTTGAAACCCTGTATCATTTTTATTGTCTTTGCTTTGTTTTGGTTTTGTCTATGTTGTTATTATTATTTTAAAAATTCTCTTTAAAATAAAAAAGAGAGTTGTTTGAGTTCCTGACGTACGTTGGACTTAACTTCCTGTCCGATGTGTGCTTTGCAGATGTCTTCTCCAGCTCGTCGGCTGCCTCCCTCGGATGGCTTCCTCCGTGTGTAGAACACTCCTTGCGTTGGTCCCACTTGCTCGTTTCGGGCTTTGCCCTCTGTCCCCTTCACAAGGACCTGAAAACCCCGGCCAAGGCCAACCTCAAGGGCTTCTCCTCTGTCTTCGCCTGGGAATTTCACTGGCTCAGATCTTCTGTTTGGGTCTTTAGGGATTTCTGGTTGATTTTTGTGTGCAGTGTAGACAAAGGCCCATCCTGTTCCTCTGCATGTGAATATCTGTCTTTCCGGCAGCTGTTTATAAAGAGTTCCTCCCCACACTGTACAGTGTCTTCTCGGTGGCCTTGTGGAGACATAGCCTACTGCATGTGCCTGGGCTTATTTCTGGGCGTTCTGCTATGTTCCATGGGTCTGTGTGTCTGTTTTTATGAAGGAGAGAATTTTCCTGAGTATAACATTTGAGCCGGCTGTGGTGGCACAGGCCTGTAATCCTAGCACTCTGGAAGCAGAGGCAGGAGGATTTTGAGTTCAATGCCAGCTTTGGCTACATAGTGAGTCCCTGTCTCCCCCCACCAAATAAATGAAACTTCCGCTAACCTGACCCCACCCCTGTTCTCTGGGCCTGCCAGCTGCTCCTCTCTTCCTCAGCCCATCTGCTTGGCTGTGTCCTACCTCAGGGTCTGAGTCCTAGCTGATCCTTCCCCTGGTCCCAGGCGGCATGGAGCGTTTTGTGGAGTCTTGGTCTGCAGCCACACCCTGACTTCTGCAGGCACGGGCACCCTTCCCCTCTCATCTCCAGGAGCGTGTGGCGCGATTCTGGAACCAGGGCCCTGTCGCAGCAGCCAGACTCTGGTCCTACCTTCCGTGCCAGGGACCTCAGCCCCCTTCCCACCCCTGGGACGGACTGGTGGACCCCTGAGACTTCGAGGGAAGTCCATTGTGGCTCCTGTTTGGGCGGCAGTCACCTGGCTCCCAGGCCGGACTGCGTGGAAGGAAGGGTCGGTGAAGAAGCTGTCCAACCCTGCTGGCCGGGAGCAGAGGGAAGAGAGGAGCTGGGACAGGACCTGCCCGTCCAGGCCTCGCCAGTGCCCTCCTCCAGCCAGCGTTCCTCCGCCTGCGCAGTCGCTCCGTTCACAAGCAACGACTCCACCCTGAGCACAGCCCCACGGCCCAGTCGCCGTCCGCACGGGAGCCTGGGGACATGAGCCCTAAGCCCTCGCACCAGCCACGTCCCCAAGGCCTTCCGCTACTCCTCTGAGTCAAGTGTCATTCCCTGCCCCCATGCTATGGAGAGGCCCGGAGACGCCACGCTTGCAGTCCACCGATGTGGGCATTTGCGCTCCCCGAAGATGGGGTCAGCCCAGGTCTGTGGCTGGCGGGCAGCAGGGAGTGGCCTCCTGTCTCTTGGTCTGGCTGTTGGGGTCGGCAGGATGCTTTTGGTCTGGGGCCCTCCTGGCACACACCAAGGGCTCCCTGTGCGTGTACCAGGGAAAGTCCCACGTCAGGAGTGGAGTTGCTGCCAGGGTGAGGAACTGCTGCGGGCCACTGCCTCCCTTGGGGCGGGGCCCGGCCCCACTGCCTGGTCACACCCCCGGGGCCCTTGGGCCAACCCTGTCTAGCCGCCCGCCCTTCCCTGGTCAGCACCCCAGGACTGCTGTGGTGTCATAGGAACCTGGAAGAGCCTTAGGGTTGCCCCCGATAGAAGGCTCAGCCAGGCTCCTGAGGGCATGGTCTGCACAGCCCAGGGAGGGTGCGGTTGGCAAAGCGTGGAAAACCCAGCTGTGGGGCAGTGCTGGCTTGGCCTTGCCTGTGATGCAAGCCCTTGTGCCCACACCACATCCTTCCTGTGCCTGCAGGCCTGGGCCGTGATAAATCTGTGTCATTTCCTCCCTGCTGTCCCTCAGCCTGGTGTCGGGTGAGTCCAGCTCTTGCAGCAGGGTACGCGGGAGGACTGGGCTGGGCGGCGGGCCAGGTGGGTCTGTCCTGTTGTGGATGAGGAGTCTCCCTCCTGGCTTTGCCCTCTTTTGCAGTCCCTGTCCCCTGTATTATTGTGAGGGCGGGAAGGGTGACACTGCTGGCAGCCCTGTGTCCCTCAAGGAAGCGCAGGGTGCACGGAGGGCTGGAGCTTGCAAGAGACAGGGCAGTCAGGGTGAGACAGGCATGAGTGAGGGTCACAGGGTATGCCCGCCTTTAGCCATCTATTTTTTAAAATAAGTTTTTGTGGGGTGCTGGGAATGTAGCTCAGGGGTAGAGCACTTACCTAGCATATGAGAGACCTTGGGTTCAATTCCTAGCACCAAAAACAATTTTTGTGTTGTTGGGGATTGAACCACTCTTTACTTTTTTGAGTAGAGTTTGAGAAAGAGATTCTCTAAGTCAATAAGTTGCCCGGGCTGGGCTCAAACTGGCAATCTTCCTGCCTCAGCCTTCTGAGCGCTATCCCTGGTACACCAGGCTCATTTCTGTCAGACTGTAACCACGTAGTTTAGGGTAGAAGATGTGGTCCCAGCCCTCTGGGCCAAATCCTGGCCCTGCTTCTTTCTGGCTGTCAGAACTTCTGGGTTTGTCTAAGGCTCAGTCTCTACCCAAAATGCAGGCAGGAATCTGAATCCCTGCAGTGCAGCCCCAGCCAGTGTGGAGCGAGGGCAGCGTGGGGAGGGAACTGGGACTGTGCGTCGCTGGAGCTGTGGACAGCTGGCACCCTCACCGTGCTCTGTGCGCACCCGTGGCCAGGGTCGTTCTGGTGTCTTTGGTTCCCTGTGGACCGGGGAGGGGTGCCTCGAGCCACCGCGCTCTCTGTCCCCATCCCAGGCCACAGGCCTCCCCTCCTGGCCTCTGTCTTGCTGTTCTCTCTGGTCAAGGCAGCGCCAGGAGCCGCAGCCTTAGGCTGGAAGGGGTGAAAGCACCTTCCGCCTCTCGTCCACAGTGGAGGGTTTGTGGGGTCAGTCAAGCGGGCATGGAGTCCTCGGGGCGTGTCTGGCTGCCCTACGCCCTGTCACTCCAATGCTGTCGTGCTTATACTTGCCTGTTCTCTCTCTGTAGGGCACCTTCTCCATGACGCAGGACACTCCTGGTACAGGCTCGCTTCCTGGTAAGCGCTTGGCTCATTTTTCGGAACAGAACGGTGGTTTGCGATGCTCAACTGATATATTTTCATTTGAGTTTTCTGAGTTTAAAAACTTTGTGACTTCACCAGGCGTGGTGGTGCACACCTGTAATCCCAGCACTTGGGAGGCTGGGACAGGGGATCACTGGAGTTGGAGGCCCGCCTGGGTTACATAGGGAGACCTTGTTTCAAAAAAAAAAAAAACACAAATTTTTAAACTGTGACTTGAAATTGTGTACATTTATAGGGTAGCCTGTGACATTTCCACACATGTGTGGAGTTTGCTGAGATTTTGGTAACTCAGTTCTCTCTGAGTAGAGACATTTTCGAGATGTTGGGGCATTCCACCAGGGCCTTTGCCCCGAGCTACATCTCCAGCCCTTTTAAATTGTTTTTATTGGACAGGATCTTGCTAAATTGCTAAGTTGCCCAGGGTGGGCTCACACTTGCCATCCTCCTGCCTCAGCCTCCTGAGTGCTGGGACACAGCTGAGTGGGGACTCTGAAAGACGCTCCTTGCCCGGATGCCTGGGACCTGGCGTGGCCCTGAGCCTTGTTGAGGAACATGGCCAGCACCCGCTGTAAGCTGGCCAGCTACCTGGAGGACCTGGACCACGTGGACTTCAAGAAATTCAAGATGTACTTGGAGGACTACCCCCCGCAGGAAGGATGCATCCCGCTCCCGAGGGGCCAGACAGAGCGGGCAGACCACATGGACCTGGCCACCGCCATGATCGACTTCAATGGGGAGGAGCGTGCGTGGGCCATGGCCGTGTGGATCTTCGGCGCCATCAACAGGAGAGACCTGCAGGAGAAGGCGAGGCGGGAGCAGCCGCAGTGGGGTGAGTGCGCGAGCGCCGGCCGGTGCACTCCTCCCCCTTGTGAGTGAGCAGCACAGCGGGAAGTGGATCTGCATTGTGCAACCGCCTCCAGGGCTCTTGTGTCTTGCAAAACAGAAACCTCTGAGCCGTCCCACCAGAGCCTGGTGACCCAGTCCTGGCCTGGCTGCTGAGCGGAAGTGCTGGTTTCTGTTCCTCCGTACTCGCTGCTTGGGTTCCTCTCGGAGGGGCCGGGAGGCGTTTGTCTGTGGGACCTGCTTTCTTCCGCCGGAGAGCCCCCAGGTTTGCCCACAGGTGTTGTGTCAACAGCTCCTCCTGTGACGCTGAGAGCGGTTCCTCTGTGTGTGTGCCACGCCACGTTTAGCTTCGGAATGCCCGCGCGGGCAGGCACTTGAGCAGCCCCCACCGTCCAGTGTTGTGAATAGGGAATAGGGCCTCAGCGTGCGAATGTCTTGTGAACACCCTGATTTGGACTCTTCTGAGTTCATGCCTGGATGTGGAACATAAGGATGGAATTGCAATCCTCAGTTTAATTTTTTTGAGGAAGTGCCAGGCGATTTATTATAGCAGCTGCACCATTTTTTTATTGCCACCCGCAGTGCACAAGAGTTCTGACTTCACATCTTCAGCAACATCGCATTTTTGCTTGTTTGGAGCAATTATCCTCAGTAGGAGATGGTGGCTCTTGGCAGCACTGCTTTGCGTTTTCTGATGACTGGTGCCGCTGAAATCTTCCTGTGGGCGTCTCTGGGGAGAGCTCTGCTGACCCCTTTCCACTTCGTAATCAGTCTTTGTTGCTCTTGACCTGTAGCGTTCCTCGTGCTTGCTGGGTATTTGTTTTGTTTTTTGTTTTTGGTTTTTCTCTGGTACCGGGAACCGAACTCACGACCTTGCGCTTGCCAGGCAGGTGCTTTTGCCGCTGAGCTAAATCCCCAGCCCCTGTGCTGGGTATTAATTCCTCATCGGATGCACGATTTTCTCCCACGCAGGTGTCTTTGCGTGCACAGAAATTAGTATGCTTTGCAGTCATTTCTGGCAGTACCTGGGCTTTTCCTCTTCTTCCTCTCATGATTGTGCTGTGAGAGGATGGGGAAGCAGTTGGCTTTCCACGCCTCCTTTAGAAACCCCACTGCAGCCTGACCCCTGGGACCTGCCCCAAGGCTGTGCTTCTGCCTCCGCACCCCGCCAGGCCCAGGGTCTGCCAGCTTGGTGCTCTACCTGCTGGAGTCGCTTGTTTCCACGGCTTGGGAGGGACTCCTTAATCAAGACTATCCAGTGCGTGGGTAACGCCTTCCGATGGCCACCGCTGGGCGTGGGAACGGGCAAGCAGAATCCCCAGACCCCTGCATGCATGTTGGGGCGAGGGTCTCCTTCTGCAGGGCAGACGGGTGCAGGGCAATGTGGAGAGTCCCGGCGTGGTGACAGTGAGCCGGAGGCGATGGGGAGGGGAGCAAGCTGAGTCAGCAGCGGGGAGATTCGTGACTGGGCAGGGCGCAGCGGGGCGGGAGGGGCGAGGAATGTGGGAAGAGGGGTGGGCCGTGGGGATGCCAGGAGCACAAGTCACAAAGCGAGGCAGCACTGTTTGCACTCAGAGCCGCGCTTAGCAAATCGGTGTACAACCCTCAAGCCCGGGTCCCTGGGCCCCAACCCTGTGTCCAGGTCAGCATGGTGACTCAGCAGGCTCGGCCTGCCCAGGACCCCTCTGCTCAGAGGCACAGCAGGAGGAAGACAGGGTGCCCTTTGTCCACGCTGGGCTGGAGTGGAAACGCAGAACCAGGCTTCACGTTCTCGGCCTGGGCTCGGGGGAGACTCCCGTTCACGGTGGCTGGGGCTTTGTGCAGGTTCTGTTCGGATTTGTGTTGTGCTTTCTGCGGCAGCAGAGTCTTGCAGGCATCGTCTCTGTTGCCTGGGGTCCCTGTGTACCTGGAGAGCCCTGTCCCGCGATCCCCTGGGGCTGGCTGCTGCTCTCTGTGTCTCCTTTTCCCTGGGGGTGAAGCTCTGTCTGCTGACTTAGATGTATGTTCTCACCCATCCGTAGTGTTGGGGTCACATAGGGACCTTGAATGTACCCTGGTCCCGGGCCGCACCTCAGATGGCTGTAGAAGAATCTCCAAGGCTGGTGGTCGGGATTCTGCTGTGTAAAGCTTCTTGGATGAATCTAGAGTCAGCTAGGATTCTGAAGCATTAAATCTGAGATAAAACTGACCAGCGAGTCTCTTTCTTTTCACTATTTCCAAGGGGCTGGGCTGGAGCCCCGGCCCTGCACGGCTGAGCCAGCGCGGTAGCCCTGAGTTCCTCCCAGACACCGAGGCCCAGCCTAGGAGGCCCAGGGATCTCCACATGACGGCGCAGATGTGCTGAAATGGGTCGCAGGTGGAGAGGCCAGGGAAGGGAGGTCTCACGGGGGCCCAGCCGCCTTGGGGGTCTGGAGCTCTGGGGGAGGTCTCGAATCAGGCTCCAGGGCTGGCCATAGACAGCTGATGGTGAGCATGTGTCCACCTCGGGTTTGCCTGGGTACTCCGGGCTGGGAAGAGGTTCTGTGGCTGGATGTGTGTGCCTGCGATGTTCCCACTCCGTAGAGGAGAGCAGACGCGCCTGGGCCAGCTGCTCTCCCGTGGTTACCTGCACTTGACTGGTGTCTACTTTGGGAGTTTTCTGGGGCTGGTACCTGTGGCCTGTCACCCCGTGCTGGCATTCTGCTTTCCAACCCTGTTCTTCCGTCTGTGTCCAGAGAGCCCCGCAGTGGAGTGCCGGGAAGACAGCCTTGAGGAAGAGTGGATGGGCCTCCTGGGCTTCCTTTCCAGATTCTCCATTTGTAGAAAGAAGAAGGGTGAGCTGTCCGTGGTGCTTGGACTGGTGGTCTGGGCTGGTGGGCAGGTCTGGAGCGGAGCCTCTGGCTGGCAGGCCTCCCCCTGCTACCCCACCCCAGGGTGCAAGGCCTGGACCAGCCGAGAGGCAGATGTGGGTGTGTCTGGGGCCTGGGCAGGGGCTGCAGGCTGAGGGGGGCCGCTATGGGAGGACCTCTTGCATGGCTGCCTTCTGCTCACGGAAGATCAGGCCTGGAGTGCCCTGTCCCTCTGTCCCGACTGCCACTGCCTCTGAACCCTGTTTTGTGGCCCTGCTGTTAGGAAAGCAGACCACTGTGATATGAATTGTTCTGTGTGACACGTAGACACACCGGCAGTGTGCACACACGTGGTGAGGCGTGCTCTCCGGCTGTGGGCCCCACGCGCACACATTAGTGCCCTGGATCTTCACCTCCCCCGACCCCTGCAAAGAGCCAGGTCCCCGTTCCAGCCCAGCGCAGCGTGTGACTCTGTGTTGCTGCAGATTTCGCCAGGACATACAGACGACACGTGAGAAGCAGGTTCCACTGCATCGAGGACCGGAACGCGCGCCTGGGGGAGAGCGTGAACCTCAACAAGCGCTACACGCGCCTGCAGCTGGTCCGGGAGCACCCCAGCCGGCAGGAGCGGGAGCGGGAGCTGCTGGCCATGGGCGGGAGCAGGCTGCAGGACGGCTCCCAGGGCCCCCTGAGGCTGGAGTCGCTGTTCGATACGGACCCTGAGGACAAGTCCCCAGAGCCCGTGCGCACGGTGGTGGTGCAGGGCGTGGCCGGCATTGGGAAGACCATCCTGGCCCGGAAGATCATGCTGGACTGGGCCTCGGGGAAGCTCTTCCAGGATAAGTTCGACTACCTGTTCTACATCCACTGCCGCGAGGTGAGTCTGGACGCGCCCAGGAGCCTGGGGGACCTGATCGCCAGCTGCTGCCCCAACCCCTGCGCCCCCCTGCGCAGCATCGTGTGCGGGGCCTCCAGGGTCCTGTTCCTCATGGACGGCTTCGACGAGCTGCAGGGCGCCTTTGACGAGTACGCCGAGGCGCTGTGCACAGACTGGCGGGTGGCCGTGCGGGGGGACGTGCTGCTGGGCAGCCTCATCCGGAAGAGGCTGCTGCCCGAGGCCTCGCTGCTCATCACCACGCGGCCAGCTGCCCTCGAAAAGCTTCAGCACCTGCTGGAGCGGCCGCGCCACGTGGAGGTCCTGGGCTTCTCTGAGGCCCGGCGGAGGGAGTACTTCTTAAAGTACTTCTCCAGCGAGGCGCAGGCCCGCGCGGCCCTCACGCTGATCCAAGAGAACGAGGTGCTGTTCACCATGTGCTTCATCCCCCTCGTCTGCTGGATCGTGTGCACCGGGCTCAAGCAGTGCATGGACAGCGGCGAGAGCCTGGCGCAGACCTCCAAGACCACCACGGCCGTGTACGTCTTCTTCCTGTCCTGCCTGCTGCAGGCCCAGGGCGGAGCCCACGAGCGCCAGCTCTCTGAGCACCAGCTCTCGGCACACCTCCGCGGGCTCTGCTCGCTGGCCGCCGCTGGCATCTGGAACCAGAAGGTCCTGTTCGAGGAGGGCGACCTCAGGAACCACGGCCTGCAGGAGGGGGCCGTGTCCGCCTTCCTGAGGATGAGCCTGTTCCAGAAGGGGGTGGACTGCGAGAAGCTCTACAGCTTCATCCACATGACTTTCCAGGAGTTCTTTGCTGCCATGTACTACGTGCTGGAGGAGGAGGAAGAGGCGGGGCTGGCGGGGAGCCAGGAGGTGCTGCCCCACCGGGACGTGGCCATCCTCCTGGAAAACTACGGCAAGTTTGAGAAGGGCTACCTGATTTTTGTGGTTCGCTTCCTCTTCGGCCTCGTCAACCAGGAGAGGACGTCCTACTTGGAGAGGAGGCTGAGCTGCAGAGTGTCCCAGCAGATCAGGGCGGCCCTGCTGAGGTGGATTGAGGCCAAGGCCAAGGCCAAGAAGCTGCAGGCCCAGCCCAGCCAGCTGGAGCTCTTCTACTGCCTGTACGAGATGCAGGAGGAGGCCTTCGTCCGCAGGGCCATGGGCCACTTCCCCAAGATCGAGGTCAACCTCTCCACGCGCATGGACCACGTGGTGTCATCCTTCTGCATCAGGAACTGCCGCAGCGTGCAGACGCTTTCCCTGGGCTTTCAGCACAACTCGCCCAAGGAGGAGGAGGAGGAGGAGGTGGAAGAAGGCATGGGCCCCCCGGTGGCCGGGGCTCGCAGGTGAGAGGTGGCTCGCAGGTGTCTGCTGCTTTCTGGTTGCTTTTCTGGGCATTACATCCTCTTCTCTTTCTTCAACCGTCTTCCAAATACAGTCGCCGTAGCCTGCATAATGGTACTATTGCTCATCTCTCCGAGGTGTGTTCATTGGAGAGAGCATGCCCTGTGTCCCATGGGCAAATGGGATGAGAAGAAGCCCATGCAGGAGATGTGTGGGGAAAGCCAGGCCAGGGAGGTGCTCGCTGGAGCAGGATTGCCCGGTTGGGTTTGAGTCTGCTGGGAGGCCCAGGTCCCTGTCCTGCTCCAGCTTGGGCTGCTCTAACAGAACACTGAGGCAGGGGCATTGAGAGCACAAGGTAGATTTATCAGTTATGGAGGCCACAGACCCCAAGGCTGAGGGCCCACATCTCAGGAGAGACTTTGTACTGTCCTCCCTGGGTGGAGTTAAGAGGGACAGGAGGGCATGTGCAGGTGAGTATGCATGGGAGCCTCCAGGTGAGTGTACAGGTGGGTGTGCAGGTGATGGTGCAGGTGGGGGTGCAGGTGGGGGTGCAGGTGGGGGTGCAGGTGGGGTGTAGGTGAGGGTGCAGGTGAGGGTGTAGGTAGGTGTACAGTTGAGGGCTCAGGTGGGTGTGCAGGTGAGTGTGTTGGTGAGAGTGCAGGTGGGTATGAAGGTAAGTGTGCAGGTGGGTATGCAGGTGTGTGTGCAGGTGAGGGTGAAGTGAGGGTGCAGGTGGGTGTGCATGTGGGTGTGCATGTGAGGGTACAGGTGGGTGTGCAGGTGAGTGTGAGGTGAGCATGCATGTGGGTGTGCAAGTGGGTGTGCAGGTGAGGGTGAGGTGAGCGTGCATGTGGGTGTGCAGGTGGGTGTGCAGGTGAGGGTGGCCCTGGCACCAGTCCATTCCATGCTGGTGCACTCGTGTCCTGGTCACCTCGCACTCAACCTCCAGACACGGCGCCTTGTGGATTATGTTTCCTGCACAGGGCTTTTAGGACGCACTCACGTGGAACATGGGCTCCCCAACCCCACAGACCTGGAGCCCCGGCCTGGCTGGGAGAGTTGGGCAGGCTGACCGAGGACAGTGTGCAGTGGTGCCTAACGGGATGTGGCTTTCTTGGGAAAAGGTCACCCCGGTGGATCAAGGGGAGCGGGGCAGGGGATGAGATCCTTCCCTTTATGCTCCCACGTGAGCTTTCAGATTGGATCGACTGACTGGTACTGGGGATTGAACCCAGGGTCACCACCATGGAGCAACAACCTCAGCCCCTATCTATCTGTTTATTTATTTATTGAGACCGGGTCTCCCTATGTAGCCCAGGCTGGCCTCAAACTCATAGCAGTCCTGCCTCAGCCTCCTGAGTGCTGCGGCTACAGGTCTTTTTTAGTTTTTAGTTTTTATTTTGAGACAGATCTTGCTACATTTACCAGCCTGGTTGCAAACTTGCCATCCCCTTGCCTCAGACTCCCAGTCGCTGGGGTCACAGAAGTGGCCCCCTTTGCTCTATCATGTATTTCTAGTTGGAGATGATAGCTGGATGCACGGAGGGAGGTTTTCACAGTGCAAGGTCCGAGCCCAGGCCTGGGCCCTGCGAGGCGTGTGCTGCTCCCTGAGCCCCAGCAGCCCGCTGTGTAGACTGAGGCCCTTCACGCTGATTAGGGTACCTGTCACTAAGGTGTCGCTTCTTCTCGGTGGGGTGAGAATGTTCTCAGTTTGGGGTGTGCATAACTGCTAGCTGCTGGTATTGTCTCCCATGTGGCCGAGCACCAGGGGGTCCCCAGCATCACCCTGTTCCCTTCAGGGACCCCAGGGTGGCCTGTGTGGACATCTGGGTTTATCCTCCTTTTGAGCTCTACAGGCTGGGCTCCTCCACCCCAGCCAGGGAGCCTACCCTCCCGGGTCACTGTCACCCCACAGGATGGCTTTTGTGGTCATGGGGGACCCGGCTGTGCTCAGGGACAGTGAGGGGACGGCACAGGGAGCAGAGGGTCCTGGGCAGTGACCTGAGGGCAGGGCTGGACAGTAGCACGCTGTGTCATGGCAGATAGGAAGGGGGGGGGCGGCATCTTGGTCCTCATGGGCTCTGTCACAGGACGGGATGCTGGTGACTCAGTCACCCCAGCACCGGGTGGTCAGTTGCAGGACCAGGACTAGGGCCAGGACCAGGACCAGGGTGTCGGGGAGGACCTGTCCTAGACTGCAGGTGTCGCCTTCTTGCTGTGTCTTCCTGCGGCGTCTGGGGTCCGTTTTACTCACGACCCCCCGTGGCCTTGCCCCTCCAACCCTGTGGTGGAGGACAAGGGCAGTGCAAAGCTCTGGGTGGGGCACAGCGTCATGCGTAGCCCTGGGGAGGGAGAGGAGGGGCTGGCGGGGAGGAGAAGCTGCTCCCGTGCGGGCAGGGCGGTGTCCCTGTACCTCCGAGGGCAGTGAGGGTGCCCACCGGTGCCCACCAGGAGCACAGAGGCCAGAGCCCACCCAGACGTCTGCAGTGTGTGGACAAGCTTCCCATGCAGCCCTGGAGAGAGATCCTGACTCGGTGGGCTCACGCTCAGCGCTGCCTCAGCCCACAAGCCGGCTGGCAGGACAGCCGATTGACCGTGAGGGTCAGGCACGGCCGACCACGAGGGTCAGGCACGTCAAGCTGAGGACACTCAGGTTCGTCCGAGATCGCCTTCTTTCCGCCAGCAGTCAGCTCGCGGCTGTCCGGCACCAGCACCCAGCCTGTGTTTCTCTGCGAATGCCTTTGGATTTGTGACCTCTTCCTCCCTCCCCTCATTTCTCTCTCTTTCCATACGGGTATTAGACCTAGGACCTGAGCACAGCGCTGTCAGACAGGGTCTCACTGAGCGGCTGAGCTCCCAGGCTGGGCTCAAACCCCTGGCTCCTCCGTGTGGGCCTCCCAAGCTCGGGCTGCAGGCGTGTGTGTGCTGGGACTGCGGCTGACCTGCCTCTTCCCTCGGCCTCCCGGTGGGTGACACCTCACCTGCAGCGGGTCTGTCAGCGATGCTCCTCCTGTTCCCCTCCAGGTCGCCGACCTGCTACCTGACCCCCAGCTCCTGCCGGGGCCTCTTCTCAGCCCTGAGTGCCGCGCGGGCCCTCACGGAGCTGGACCTCAGCGACAACATCCTGGGGGACCTGGGAATGTGCGTGCTGTGCGAGACGCTGCGGAGCCCGGGCTGCAGCATCCGGAAGCTGTGGTGAGGCGCGCGTGTGTGTGTGTGTGTGTGTGTGTGTGTGTGTGTGTGTGTGTGAGAGAGAGAGAGAGAGAGAGAGACAGAGAGAGAGACAGAGAGAGAGACAGAGAGAGAGAGAGGTGTGCGGGACGTCTCTCCCACTGGCTGAGGCCGCCATCAGGGGAGGAGGCTCAGGGCTGGGCCCCCTGCCACCCCTTCTGTCCCCTCCCTGTGGCCCAGGGCACAGGCCACGTCCCCACACGGTGCTCGCTGCCTGCAGGTTGGGGCGCTGCGGCCTCTCCCACCAGTGCTGCTCCGACCTCTCCTCCGTCCTGAGCAGCAGCCGGAAGCTGGTTGAGCTGGACCTCAGCGACAACCCCCTGGGAGACTTCGGGGCCTGCCTCCTGTGCCAGGGCCTGGCATACCCTGGCTGTGCCCTTGGCAAGCTCTGGTGGGTCACAGCTTTGGGCAGTGGGTGCTCCGGGCATGGGGGCGGGGCATGGAGCAGAGTGCTGGGGAGAAAGTCAGCGATTGGTGGGGGGCATAGTGGACGGAGGAGCCTGCTGGGGAGAGGACACTGGTGTCAGGTCACTGGTTCCAAAGACGCGGGCTCTCAGGAGAGGGAAAAGCAGCTGGGCGTGTAGGGCCAGTGCACATACTTCATGGTGGCTTAGGGAAAAACACAGCAGAATGTAAGGGAGATGAGGACGCAGGTGTGGACAGCTGCAGACGCAGGCCTCTGCGTGACTGTGAGTGGGCCCGTGGCCACTGCAGTAAGTGGTCACACGAAGGGCCACCCTGAGCCAGTGGTCCCACCCCGCTGTATACACAGACGGACACAGAATACGTGACACTGTGTCCAGAGCAGCACTTGGACCTCACCCAGCAGGAGAAGCATTTGTGTGTTGTTCAGGGAGGGGCAGGAGGGAAGGGTGTGCACGGGCGCCCGCTACACACTGGCCGGCCATCGGGGTGGCTGCTGCGGGGGACGCCACCTTGCTGACCCCTCTTGGGATGGGGGCAGAGTGGGCGAATTCAGACAAGCTTGAAAGGTGCCTGGCAGGGCTGGGAGGGGCAGGAATCACCCAAGTGCTCAGGTTCAGTTCTGGAGCTGGCTGGTGTGACGGTTACACACAGCATAAGTGCCCTTAGGGCCGTGGACTTGTACACTAGGAAGAGGCTGGTAGATTTTTTCATAGGCATGATCGAAAACTACAGTGAGTGCTTAAATTTTCTGTAGTTTTTTTTTTTTTTTTTCCGGTACCAGGAATCGAACTCACGACGTTGCGCTTGCCAGGCAGGCGCTGTGCTGCTGAGCTAAATCCCCAGCCCCAGTGCTTAAATTAAAAGTCATTACAGCAAAAGACACAGTAGTCCCCTCAAAGCCCCCCCCTGCTTCGACACCCCCATCCCACGTCCTGGCCACCGTCTGCAGCAGCTCTGGGGGCTTTTTTCCTGTGCGTTTTTAGTTGGACTGTCCTGGCTGCCTCAGTGTCCTGCATGAATGCAAACGTTTGCCTTCTATGGTCATTTTGATTTTGGGGAGGAGCCGCAAGGTGTCCTGGAGAATAACACAGCGCCACGTTTTATGACACGACTTTCCCTGGGCTGGCACTGGGCGGCAGCACTGAGTGTGTTTTTTTTTTTTTTTTTTTGATCACTCCTGGAGAGTCACTCGTGCACGTGGACTCCTAGGACTGCTCCAGAAAGTGGTGAGAGGACGGGGGAAGTGTGTCCGACGCAGGCGGGAGTATTACGAGAGGAATTCATGGCAGTGTCTTTTACTGTAATAAACCAAAAAATTTTGAAATATTCATGTATATTTCGATGGCACCAGATGCCTTAGTTACTTTTCTCATTGCTGAGAAAATACCCAGCCCCAAAGTCACAGGGGAAGAGGTTTGTTTGGCTTGCAGTGTGCGAAGGTTTCAGTTCGTAGCTGGCTGGCTCCAAGGCAGGGTAGCCCGGCAGAGGGGCATCGCAGAGGGGAACGGTTCATGGCAGGCGGCAGGCAGCAGGCAGCAGGCGGCAAAGCAGTGCAGTAACGAGTGGCCATGGGGGCGACCTCTTCTGTCCAGGCTACAGGATCGTAGGCTGGCAGCACCCACACTCAGAGAGGCCCTTCCCACTGTCCCCACCCAGAACCACACGGAGCTGGTCAGTGGACTGATCAATTTAGTCACCACACACCCTGATCCAGCACCACACCCCCAGGTCCAGCCACCTCTGAAAAGTCCCCCTCTGACTGCACGAGGCTGTGGAGGGACATCAGACACGGCCGTAACACCGGGCCTAGTGTCTACCTTACTGTGATGAGAACACGCTCAGGGAGCCAGGTCCTGTGGGTGGCCTTGGAGGTGCTCGGCTGATTTTTTTTTTGTTTTTTTTTTGTCTTTTTGAGACAGGATCTCACTATGCAGTTCAGGCTGGCCTTGAGCTCACTTTGCAGCCCATGCTGGCCTTGAACTCACAACGATCCTCCTGCCTCAGCCTCCCGAGTGCTGGGATTACAGGCGTGTGCCATCACACCTGGCGTTTGCCTGTTTTTACAGCGAAGGGTGTGGGAAGCTTCTGTGGAGCTGGTCTGCCCTGTGGCACCTGGCAGTGCTGGTTGGGTGGGTTCTGGGTCTCCCAGGCAATGTCAGGTTTCGGGGGTTCGGGTTGGGTTCGGGTTTGAGCAAGTGGTGGGGGCAGGGCCTGACTCTCCTGTCCCGGAAGGCTGGTGAGCTGCTGCCTCACGTCTGCGTGCTGTGAGGACCTCGCCTCGGCGCTCACCGCCAGCTGCTCGCTGACCAGACTCTACGTCGGGGAGAACGCCCTGGGTGACGAGGGGGTTGGCGCTCTGTGTGACAAGGCCCGGTGGCCGGAGAGTCACCTGCAGAAGCTCGGGTGAGTGTCCTGGGCCTTGCCGTGGAAAGGCAGACTCGCCCAGGGTGAATCACTGGGACAGGTGGGCCGGTTGCCCTGACAGAGGCGGCTCTGGCGGAGTCCGGGCAGAGAACAGCATCCCGGGTGACTTGGTTGGCACTGGGTCCACAGGGCCCAGACACAGGCCCACTTGTGATGGGTTTAACTGCCAGGGCCAACAGTGTTTGAAAAGGCCATGTCTGCCCCGAGCAGGCCCACACTTGCCCTTGTTCCCTCAGCAGCGCAGTGTGACAATGACGTCAGAGCAGGCACCACGAGCCCTGTGCCAGGCAGTGGCAGGTTGGGGGTTCAGGGTGGGCTCGGGTTGGGTAGGTTCTGGGTCTCCTGGGCAGTGGTGGGGGTGCCCCTCCTGCAGTTGTGTCAATGCCTGCCCCTGTGGCCCCTGCATGGGGACAGTCTTTTCTCTGGTGCTGTGTTTTGGTCCCATCCTGCATGGGGTGACCCCTAGGGCCTGTCCAGGTCCTCGATGTCCTGAGCAAAGAGCGAGCAAAGCTCAGGGAAGGCCACAGGGCACACACTGATTGGAGGTGGAGGAGAAGCGCGCTCTGCAGGGAGTGTGGGCCTCTGGAACGGCTCACAGAGCCCAGGACAGGGGAAAGGGGTCCTTTGCACCCCAAACTCCCGGGTGATTTACCTGCCTAGAGTGCAAGTGAGGCTTCGGGACAGTCGTCCCATGGAGTACTCACCTGGCATTGGTCGCATCAGAAAGCTCGCTGGGCTTCCTGCAGCGTGTGAATGACAGATCAGAACAGGGTCTCTCCACTGGCTGTGCCCGTATTCAAATGAAGAGTTGAAAGGCGCATCTTCTGATTGGTTCTTCCAGGAGCACCAGACTCAAATGAAGGATTGAAAATAACACTTTTCTGGTTGGCTCTGTGTCCTGGTGAGACGTCACGTGTTGGGAGGGTCCTGCCCCCAGGGGTGTCCCTTACTCCGTTGCCCGGTCTTACTATCACCTGGGCATGTCTGGGTCTTCATTCCACCCATACTCTCTATAAAGACAATGAGCAGGTTGCCTCTGCCTTTCCTCTGCCAGCCAGAGCAGCCTTTAAACCAATACAGGACAGGTGCTGGGGGTGTGAGGCATGGCTGGAGCTGAAGAGGCCTCCAGGCAGAGCAGAGAGAGAGCATAGGCCCAGGCGCAGACCACGGCCACCTCAGAGATTGGCTTCTGCCCTCTGAGTCCTGCCCAGGCCCGGTCGCAGTTGATTCTGCTGCCTTTTCTCCCCTTCCGCCTTCCCTTGAATGTCTTTCTTTTCTGCTGCTGTCTCCTGTTACTTTTATAGTTTTCTCCACGAGACTTGTGTTGGCCTCTCTTCCTGTGAGCTGGGATTTCTGCTCAGTGTGCATGCATTCTGACATGTCTCGTGCACCCACCGGCTCCAGCCAGGGTCTGCACACATGCTACCCAAACTGGTCTCCAACCCAGATATCACTCATGGGTTTTTCACTGTAAAGTAACACATGCTTAGCGTAAATATATGCAGTGATACAGATATAAGAAGCAAAAAGTGAAAGCTCTCTGCCTACTAAGGGAATCATTTATAACAGCCTGACAAGAAATCTTCCAGACACCTTGCTGTACATGAGCATCCACCCACCCACCCACTCACCCACCATCTATCCACCCACCATCCATCCATCCACCCATCCATCCACCATCCACTAATCCACCATCCATCCA